TTAAAAACAAATGGGTAGATGGCTTCATAACTTTTAAAATTATGTAGTTCCAAGATCTGTATAGATTTTTAAAAATTGAGTATATAAAAAAATCCCATTTTTTAATTTTTAAAAAAAAAGTAGAGGGTGGGGAAGGAAAAAAAATAACCATTAAATAGATTATGTTTATAGATTTTACATTTTAAAAAAAAATTAAATTAGTCACTTTTTATTTTTACATTAAATACTATTAAAAGAAAAAGTAAACAGACAATAGCCAGAAATAGTGAAATATTTATTATAACATGAAATGATGAATTTCTAAAATTACATTCAATAATTTGGCTATTTATTAATATTATTTTTATTAAACAAGATGAAGTAAAAGTTTCAAAAAGTAATTAGATCTTGATATAAAGAAGCTCTTTTGAAAAATTGCAAGAGCTAAGCTTATAAAGAGAATTTTCTATCAAATATGGGCTGGTTAGATGATTTTCAATTTAGAAAGAAGCTTATTGATTCATAATAGCCTCCAGTTATTTATTTTTATCAAATGATCTAAAAAAAAAAAATCACATACACAAGAATAAGATTGACCTTACTTGAGTGAATAACCAATGTCATCAACTTAAACAAAGATGCTAGACAAATCCTAATAATATATGATAAGGTATAAATATGGTCTAAGACAAATGATTCACAAATAGCTGAGTAACTAGTCCCTAAAGCAAACAATAGAACATTGCCTCTGCTCCAATGTGGATAAATTACTACTTGCCAATCAAACTGAAAAGTTTTAGAAGCATTGGTCTAGACCAAGGTTGGCCATCCCAATAGGCTTCTTGGGCCAATTTAATAGTGAGTGAATTGTTTGTGGGCTGCACATCATTACACCTTAAATTAAAATAAACACCCACCAAATGCTGTTTAGAATTGTTTAGTTATTCTTAATGCACAGTGTCTCCAATATTTGCCACAGTGGGCCTCATGCGCGGCCTCGAGCTGGCTATTCCTGGTCTAGTTTAAAAGATATCATTCAAACAGTGAGATTCAATATATCAAGAATAAGACAGCAGGGGAAAAAAAAAGAGTTTACACAAAAATAAAACAACTACTATAACTAATTTAAAAAAATAATAATAATAACTAGATACACAACCTGAGAACTAGAGTTGTTACATGTTATTGATGTCTCAGTTGACACATCTTTATATCTTTAATTTAATACAATAAAGTATTGATCCAAATTTTGTGCAAAGGTTCTAATGTAGCACAATCAAATCTTTTATATTCTTTATGGTGGACCTTATTGTTCTACTCTATTTTCTACTTCTTTTTTTTTAAAGATTTAAATGTAAATAACTTAGGTAGGGTGTAACAAATTTTTAAAAGATACCAGGTACCAAGATGAATGAGGCAAGATTTTTTGTTTTTAATGGTAAGATGTGATTTTTACTTCCTCAGATGGACCCCACCCCATGCTGAATGATTTTATTGCACATAATCATAAAATGTTATTGGAATATTTATGAGGTTATTTAAATAGTTAGAAACATAATGTTTTCTTGCAAAAAGAAAAATATCAATCCTTCATAACGTTGATGTAAAAACAGAAGATAAGTGCAATTGTGACTAATAGCAGTTACAGTATCTTGTTTTGTTAACACACTGTACTGCTATTAATCCAGATATTTTGAGAATACATTTCATGACTATCGATTACAATATTTCTATATACATGCATATGGATTAAAGTTAAAAATCAGTTACAGACCACATGCAAAGTAAAACATGCTTATGCCCCCTCTACCGCCACAAGACTATATCAGCTGTTTGATGAGAGCCCTTCAATATAGCAATGGTCCCAGTTCTGTTGTGAGCTAATGAAAAATATTTTTTTTTCAAAAATAAATATACATAAGCACAAGATGGGTGTATGTTTTTATAATCTTAAGAATTGAGAATTTTCTGCCAGCAATAATTTTCTTTATATTTGCAATCATGCTTCTTTATTGTACCAATGAGATCTATTCCATTACTCTGATCCACAGAGATTGTAAAATAGGGCTGACACAACTAGATTTTAAAAAAAATGAAAAGATAACCATTTTTACTTAATGAAGCAAAAGAACCAAATTACCAGAAAAAAACAACTGTTAACCATATAACATAAAGTGATAAACAAAAAAATATGCCCTTAGTTGACACCAGCTTGTTTTAGAGCAAATTATTCAAAGCTATTTATATTTACACTATGTACAGAATTTTCTTGTATACAGTAAAAGTCCTCAAGAATAAAAAATAAGGAATCTCTGAGACATGGCCTACTTCTTGGTTGTCAAATACCCTCTGAGATTAGAAGCAGGGGAGTCAAGTAAATTGGTAGGCTGCTGGTTGAAAGACATTTGTTCTCTTGGTGTCATTGCAAAACAAAGACTTTAAATGCTAAGTTTTCAAGGCCAAACACATTAACTGGTTTTGAAGCATGAAAATGATGGAATGTTGTTCCTAATATTTGAATGCTTCTGGCCAATCAGTTCGTAACGTTTTTGTATTCATTCCAAAAACTGTGTATGAATGAACAAAAAATAAAAATAAAATTGTCCCGAATATAACACAACCAAATTAAGAATGAGATCCAGTGAAAGTCATAAGAGAAAAATGAATGAAATATTTCTAACTTGTTAATTCAGCCCCTCTCAAACTATTGTTATCTGCCACAGATGGTCCAAAACTTTCTATTCAGTGGTCAGACAAAAATTTAAAAATTTAATTTTTTAAAATGTTTTTTTGTTTTTTTTAAATTATGAAATGTTAAAAAAAACGTTCAAAGGCCAAGTTAAAATTACCAAAATGTTATCTCAATCAAATGATGAATAAAGGAATTTTTGCCTTTGAAAGGGAATGTTGAAAACTTCCCCTAATTTCGTTGCCCTAACATCAAACAGGACATTTCATAAATTTTAAATATGGGAATCTAGAGGTGGTCCAACGTTGTAACCATTAATTTGCATGGGCTTTGCGAATATAAAAAATAAATTTGATTGCCACTTTTTATTAAGACCCCTAAACATTTGTGCTTTTTTGGAAGTATGCAAGAATGTTAAACAAACAAATTCATTCAAAGAAAAAAGAATCAAGTTATATTCGGGCCAACATGGAATTTAAAAATATTTCAATAATTACATAAATTATGATCAACCAAACAATGAGGTATTAAGAAAAGGCAATGGATCTTAAATGGATGCTGTAAACAAATAGGGCAAAGAACTATTATTTTAACGATTACCAAAATCTGTTTACTGTAACGTCACATGAATTTCACCATTAATATTTTTTTTTTGGTTATTCAGCCTACTTTTTAAATGAAAACAACAAAAGCAAGACATCTTTTAACTATTGCACCGTCAGTTGACTCCAGGCGAAGATGAATTTTCTCTTTTTCGTACCTGGTGGTACCCTATGTATGTTTGGGTGACTCCTTCGAAAACCCTCCAAGTAAAGCTAAAAGACCATGGCAGAGACTGGGCAAACTAGTAACCCGTTATTTACCTTCTATCATTCTAATTAAAAAACCAATAAACTCCTTTTTTTACCAATGAAAATACCAGTGACTTCGATTGGTTGATGACTAAGCTTAATCTGAAATCTCCATTTATTTTATGCTTATTTAAAACTATGTTAGCACCAACTCCCTTAGGAAATAAGCAAACTGACATAATTTTGTATTAGATCAAAATGTTCTTGCAAACTTTATGCACCAGTGACAATAGCTGGAACAAAATTTTCTGTTAGAAAAATTTCAGATTAAAGAGAGTGAGAGAAAAAGAGAGTAGGTTAACGAGTTGCATATTAGTTATTTTGAAAAATCTATCAGTTTATTCTAAATGTGTTTTTCAATAAATGTTATTTTAAAAAAGCAACTTATTAAAATATAATTTTGTCAGAGAAAGTGAGAAAACTGTTGCTTTACTAGATCTGTATAATCTAATGGTTCATGCAAAGTTAGAAAATGGTAGTATTTTAAAATTTTAAAGCTAACATTGCTGTAGCAAATTTCAGATGTGTATCATATTCATTGATGTTTTCATGAGATTAAATGAATATAAAAGCTTCAAAGTGTGTGTGTGGGTAAAACATAAGAAAAACAATTGAAGGCATGTTAGGATCTATCAAACAATCATGTAAACAAATATTTAAAATTCAATTATATTGTTTAAAAATACTTGCAGAATTTTCACTATTGCCTCAGTGAAAGATCCTATGCTCAAATGGCGATTGGATCAGAATAATGATGATTATGGGATTATAACTGCTAGCAAAAAAAAAAAAAGATATGGTTGTGGAGATGCTTAATGACAAATTTTTTTTTTTTTTTTTAAATGATTTTTAAATTCATAAAGTTTATTTAAATTCATAAAATTCAGTAACAGAACTTTCATATGCCAAAAGAAAAATGAAAAAAAAATAAATGAAAAAATAAGTTAAAAAATGAAAATAATTAAATAACTCTTTTTAAAAAGAAAATATAGACTAATCATGGCACGCAATTAAAAAAAAAATTAATAAAAAAAAAAAAAAA